AAATATCAAAACAAGAAATCACTTCGTCAGAAATAACAACAAACTGGTAAACGAATCGCCCTCCCCTTCGTTTCAGCTTGCCCCTCAGGTTTTAGGGTTTATAACCTAGGGTTTGGGGTTTGTGGAAACTATGGGGATGGAGGACGGAGTAGTAGCAAAAGACCTACATGCATGCCTTCTTCTACGGTTTAGGGTTTAGGGTTTGTCTGTAGTGCAGAGGCGCTCAACAATGTGAGTAGAGGAGGCAGCGATTGCAACCCTATATCATATATTCTAAACACCCTGAGTGCGTCACAGCATTAAAAACCATACTAATTGTTTTTGTTTGTCCTTTTTTGTTCTTCTTTGCTGGGAATAAAGTATCCCCCGGTGTACGCCAACCCGAAAACTAAATAAAAATTCGGCTGCGTGCCCGATGTTAACCGATATACGACTGCGTTGAACTTTGCATAGAGATAACATGTCAACAGTTTCTTTTTGTTGTGTTATATTAAGTATTAGATACACAGACACGCAAACTAATAGGGTATATGAACCCCTGACAGAGCAGCTGCCTACTCTTTCTTCTCGGCATTGCACGTGCTGTACATAACAAAACCCTTCTATTCAAACTGAAAGAGAAGGAGGTAACTGAGTTTCTGGTGTAAATGTTTTCCATTAAAGTCAAATATTAACTTTTTTATGCCGCCTATAACTCGAACGAGGCGTGAGATACACGGACACCTCACACTTCTTTCGGATTACAGACAGTGACTTGTGCGTACACCTTGCTGGATTGTAAAGCAGGAGTATTTTGGCTTTTCTGTGGTTTGTCTCTGCCGACTAAAAAGTTATCAAAAGGCTTTCTTTCAAGCTTTTTCTGTTTCAGGTTTTCCTCCTAGACGGAGTTGTATGTAAACCCTGTTTAGGGGCAAATGAAATCAAATAAATTAAACAGTTAAATCTTTTGCAAACGCAAGAAACAAGAACAACGTCAGGAACGTCCTGGCTGCAGCGTTTCCATAGTTNTTAAATCTTTTGCAAACGCAAGAAACAAGAACAACGTCAGGAACGTCCTGGCTGCAGCGTTTCCATAGTTATGAAAAAGCAGGCAGCAACGCAACAATCAGATGAGGTGTGCATCCACCACAAGCGCCTGAGATGTTCTCCGCTAACGGACATAGAATATGCCGCACGAATGAGTTGCAGGCGTCTAGTTATTAAACAATATTTAAAGGCCTAATACAAGAAAAAGGGAAAAGAAAGCAACAAGCAGGGACACATCTGGCAACTGTGCGGCCTCTGAGGTGTATGCACTCGTGACTGCGTGGGCTTCTTCTGCCTTTGGTTCTGCTGCTTCTTCTTCTCCCTCTGCAGTTTCTTCGATTCCTGAGGGCATCAAATATCCTAGCTGTGCCTTCAGCAGTGCGTCTTGCTCCCGTTCATATTTCCTAAGGAGCGTCAGATTCTGATGCTCCTTATGCAAGGTATCTCTCAAAGCTTCTACGTCCTTGACGATCTCTCCACGCAGTTTAGCTGAGATATCCTCTGCTGATTTCAGCCCACGAGAGGCGCGCAAACTCTCCTGCAACATCTGCACTATATGCTGCCCTTCGGTGTACAGCTTCCCCATCCCTTTTTCATAGGGCTCCTTCGAAATGCTCTCTATACCAGAACCCTCCGGCCCTTTTCCAGTCCCTGATGCTGCTGCCGGTGATGGCGCTGCTGTTGCTGTTGAGGCTGCTGCTCCTGCTGCTGGCTGCGCTGCTGCTGCTGTGGATTCAGGTTTCTCATGCACAGGCTGTTGCCCTCCTGCTGC